GACCTCCTAGAGCAGGATTGTTTACGGGACAGAGACTCATTAATCTCTCTCCCCACCCGCTTTGTCCTCCACTTGTTTCCTGCCCCCTGCCCCAGGCTCTCCTCCTCTTCCGCCAGCGTCTGTCACCCTCCGGCTGCTCCAAATCGACATCTTCCACAACGCCAGCTCCACGGACATGGTGGGGACGGCCCTGCTGGGCGACCTGGAGACCCACTCCATGGACTGCAGCACCTGCAAGATCCGCTTCCTGCAGCCCTGGGCCCAGCAGGGCCTGACCCCGAAGCAGTGACAGGACCTGGAGCTGCCGATCCACGATTACCTGTTCAGCTTCATCCTTACAGCGAACATAGTAGCTCAGCACCAGGGAATGGGCTGTGAGCATGGAGCGGGCTGAGGGGATCCCTCCCCTGACCCACCCGAGATGCTGAGAATGGACACGCTCACCACAGTCACTGAGTGAGTCCTTGGGGGCAAGACAGCCAGTCCCTGGCCCTTTGGCTGATTGGAGTCAGCGGACCCCAGAGGGGAAACACCCGTACCCCATTCTCCACCCAGGCCTGGGGCCAGATTGTGGTCTGAACTTCCGAGAGGGAAAGGCCCCGCGTCCCACTCCCTGAGCCGAGGCTCCGGGTCTTTCCTGACAGGTACCTGACCCTTTGAAAGCAGGCCATTTGGGCAGGGGTCTGTATCTCAGGAACCCCGTGACCAAGGGACCCCAAATTTGCATCACAAACTCTGCCGATGTAACGCAGCGATTTTCAAGCCAATCTGATTATGCACGTGAAAAATGAGCTTTACACAGAAACCGCAACTTACCCTGAACTCCAGCCAGGGCCGCCCCACAATCCCGCTGCCATCGTGTGGCCCAACATCCTCATGGCACCTGACATTATGCCTTTACTCCCCCCGTCTCTCTACTTCTGCCCCCTCCTGGGACCTCCGGACGCCCCTCCTCATCCCCCTGCCCGTCCTGTTCCAGACCCCCTCGTTACCCAGGGCTCCCTCGGCTGCGAGCTGCACCCCAACGGCACCTCGAGGGGATTCGATGATGCTGGAGTGAACGGCGAGGACTTCGTCAGCTTCGACGCGGACGCAGGCAGCTGGCTTGCCTGGCGGGGGGACAAGCTGGCGCTCTACGCCCGGGACCTTCTCAACCGGGATAAGGGCCCAGCCAGCAAGATTCAGTTTCTCCTGAGAACATGGGTCAGTGAGCTCAAGAGCTTTGTCCAGCATGGGAAAGGGTCTCTGGAGAGGCAAGGGGAGGCTGGACACCACTCCCTGCCATGCAGCCACCTCTGGGGTGGGGTGTGTTTGCTGTTTATACAGGGATCCCGCACCCAGTGCTCCTATGCAGCCATCTCTGGGGTTGGGAATGGGGGCGGCTTCTACAAAGATCCCTCAGCTTGGACTGATATGCAGCCCCCTCTGGGGTGGGGCAGGGGACTGTTTATCCAGGGACCCCTTGCCTGGTGTACAAATGCAGCTATAGCTGGGGTGGAGCACAGCAGCCTGGGGGGCCAGAGCCTGCTGATCCCCTGGGGTAGGGGCACGTCTCCAGGGGGTGGGGGTGCGGTCGTGGTCCCTGGGGGCTTTTCCTGCACATCCTGAGTGGGACGGGGGTGGGTCCAGGCAGCAGGATTGGGGCGCAGGGAAGCAGAGCAGGTGGGTGGGGGGATGGATCATGGGGAGCAGGATGGAGGAGCTGAGGGGAACAGGACAGGACCGGGATGGGGGAGCAGAACTTGAGGAGGTGGGAAGGTGGGGGGAGAAAGGGTGGGACTGCGGGGGAGGCAGAGGGAACAGGGTGGGGGGCTGAGGGCAGTGGGTCGGGTGGCTGGGGGGGACTGCAGGAGAGGTGGAGGGACCAGGGCCCATACTCCTGTCCCTGTTCCCAGCACGGCCCCCCCTGTTTTAAAGGGCACAGCAGGGGCTGGGGCCCCGGCCTGGCCATGGGCATCACCCTGGGGGCTCTGGCCGTAGCCGCCGTGGCCGGGGTGCTGTGGAGGAGCAGACGCAGGTGAGTCCTCTCCCTCTCGGGGGTGGGGGTGGGGTCTTTACACCCCCTAACCCTCCCCCCCGCTCTCTCCTTCCAGGGGCTACCAGGGTGTTAGACCAGGGGAGTCCAGGGCCTCAGGGGGCGGCACCGGCCCAGGCGTGGGGATCGGCCCCTCTCCTGGGGACATGGACCTCGGGGCTGGATCCGTGCCCGGCTCCAGAGCTGCGGGCCCCCCGAGGGCCGGTCTGGATCAAAGCGCTGGGAGATCGGGGCCCTGGGTGGGGGGTGGGATTCTGCTCCCTCTGGGACGTTCAGGGGGCGTTGGACACTTGGGGGCGCCGTGGGATCGCTGGGATCCGGGTCTCTTGTAAGGTGTCATTACAGAGCTTATAACCGGCTGAGCGGGGGCCTCCCGTTGGTATGACGCTGTCAGTCTCGTATCGGAAACTAGGAATATGAAACATAACGCTGAGGCCTGTTGTCGCGATGCAAAGCGTGGGCCATTAATGGGGGCTTGGAAGCTTGAGTCAGACGGGACTCTCAGCCAGCCGGGAAAACAGAAGGTTTATTAGACGACAGGGACATGGTCTAACACAGAGCTTGTAGGTGCAGAGAACAGGACCCCTCAGCTGGGTCCATTTTGGGGGGCAGTGAGCCAGACAACCCCGTCTGCCCTTCACTCCATGTCCCAGCCAGCCCCAAACTGAAACTCTCCCCAGCCCCCCCTCCCCCCCTCCTCTGGGCTTTGTCCCTTTCCCGGGCCAGGAGGGCACCGAATTCCTTTGTTCTCCAGCCCTTTAGCTCTCACCTTGCAGGGGGGAAGGGCCCAGGGCATCAGTGGCCAGGAAACAGGGTGTCGGCCATTCTCTGTGTCCAGACCCCTGCACACACCTGCCCTCTAGGGCTCTGCAGTGATCATACACCCTCACCCCACCACCTAGATATTTAAGAACTGCCAAGGGGAAACTGAGGCACCCCCGCACTATTCAGAGGAAACATTAAGAACAGTCCCACTTCCAACCGAGCAATCAGCTGTGCCTTGGTGAGCTCTCCTCTCTCTGCACAGCTCTACAATGTCCTTCTTAAGGAGACGGTTACAGGCCATCTTCACGCTGTTCCCACATGGTCACAGACTCACAGGCCGGTGCTCTCCCTGCTCCCCACGATCCCTGGGATCCTCTTCAGTGCGACAGCCCTTCTCAGGGGTCCGCTCTCTCTCGGGGTTAAGCCGTAGGCTCCTGCACCTCTGGGAGCCACCAGCCCGCCTGTCTCTCACTAATCCCCCTGCGTTTTCCTGCTCCCTCGTCACTTACTGCAGGATGCTCTGTCCATGGGGTGCAGTTTATCCCACCGCTAGCACCAGGTGTCACAGGGTCCCCGGCCGATGCTCTGGGAACTGCTCCCTAATAAGCCAGGCAGGACTCTGGGGGAGCTTCCTCTCGCAGAGCAGACTGTCGCCAGGGCAAGAAGCTCACCCGGCTCCACCTTCCTGGGTCCGACCTCGGAGCATTCAGCATCCTCTGCCCCTCCGTGCGCTTCCCCCAGCGAGTCCGCCCACGTGGGGCTCCTGCCCCCCGACTCCGCAGTCAGACGTGACTCTCAGCCAGCCGGGAAAACAAGGTTTATTAGTCGACAGGAACGCAGCGTAGGGCAGAGCTTGTTAGCACAGAAATCAGTGACTTTCAGCCAAGACGTCCTGGACTCCCCCCTCTTCCAGTCCCCCCACATAGACTTCCAGCAACCTGACCTCCGATGCCCCCCTTTGCTCCTCCTTCTCTTTGTCTCCCTTCCCGGGCAAAAGGTGTCACCTGGTCGCACCCCCCTCCTGGGTCCCAGGTCACACTGGTGCAGACAGCTGGGCAGCCTCTCCTGCCCCCGGGCCCCAGCAACTCACACACCCAATTCCCACCCCCAAAGTATCGGTGCAGCACACAGGGAAACTGAGGCACACACAGTATTCGTCTGGGACGGTAAGACTCACACGCAGGATAACAAGATGAATAAAATCCCACTTCATCACAACTCTGTATAAAGCTTATACAGGGTAAACTCATGAATTGTCCACCCTCTATAACACTGTTAGAGAGAGATGCCCAGCAGTTTGTTCCCCCAGGGATTAATACTTATTCTGGGTTAATTTATAAGCAAAAGTGATTTTATTCAGTGTAAAATGCAGGATTCAAGTGGTTCCGGTAATAACAGACAGAACAAAGTCAGTCACTCAACAAAATAAAGCAAAAACACGCCAGTCTAAGCTTAATACATTAAGAAACTGAATGCAGGCTCGTTCACCTGCACATCCACCAATGTGATATACGCCAGCCTGTGCCAGCAATGCCCCTCTGCCATGTACATTGGGCAAACCGGACAGTCTCTACGCAAAAGAATAAATGGCCACAAATCAGACATCAGGAATCATAAGATTCAAAAACTAGTCGGAGAACACTTCAACCACTCTGGTCACTCGATTACAGACCTAAAAGTGGCAATTCTTCAACAAAAAAACTTCAGAGACAGACTCCAACGAGAGACTGCTGAATTGGAATTAATTTGCAAACTGGATACAATTAACTTAGGCTTGAAAAGAGACTGGGAGTGGATGGGTCATTACACAAAGTAAAACTATTTCCCCTTGTTTATTCTCTGCTCCCCCACCCCCACCCCGGCCCCGTTCCTCACAAGCTCTTGTCAACTGCTGGAAATGGCCCACCTTGGTTATCACGACAAAAGGTTTTTTTTCTCTCCTGCTGGTAATAGCTCACCTTAAGTGATCACTCTGGTTACCGTGTGTATGGTAACACCCATTGTTTCATGTTCTCTCTGTATATAAATCTCCCCACTGTATTTTCCACTGAATGCATCCGATGAAGTGAGCTGTAGCTTACGAAAGCTTATGCTCAAATAAATTGGTTAGTCTCTAAGGTGCCACAAGTACTCCTTTTCTTTCCTCCATTATTGGGGACCCCCCTCCTGCTCCCCCTTGCCCCACCCCCTCCAGTATAACTCAGTTGGCGGCCACCCCTTCCTGGGGTTCCCGCACAAGCTCCCCGGGATCCGCGCCCCCGTCCAGCTGGCCGGCCCCTTCCCCACACTCCTCCCCCAGCCCCTTCAGTTCGGCCACGGTGGCGTAGTCCGTCTGGTGGGAGCCAGGGGGCTCCAGTTGCTGCTCCCCGACCTGGGCTAAAGCCAAATTCTGCAGAGAGGCATAATGCACCTCGGGCTCCTCAAGCTCAGCACTGGCCTGGAGGGGGGAACGGGCAACACAAGGGGTTAATAATGAGCAATGCCCCTCACTCCCGACCTGCAGCCCCTGCTCGCCCAGCCCTGGGCTCCCCCCCCGCACAGGTCAGCCGGTGCCTCCCAGTCCTGTCTCTTACCTTCCAAGCCTCCAGCTTCTTTGCTGTAACAGAAAGAGAACAGTGTAAATCTCCACTCTGCTCCCAGAGCCAGGGAGAGAACCCAGGAGTCCTGGTTCACAGCCCCCCCGCTCTAACCGCCAGACCCCACTCCTCTCCCAGAGCCGGGGAGAGAGCCCAGCCCCCCCCCACTCTAACCCACCAGCCCCCACTCCCCTCCCAGAGCCGGGGAGAGAACCCAGGAGTCCTGGCTCCCAGCTCTCCCACTCTAACCACCAGACCCCACTCCCCTCCCAGAGCTGGGGATCGAGCCCAGCCCCCCCTGCTCTAACCCACCAGCCCCCACTCCCCTCCCAGAGCCAGGGAGAGAACCCAGGAGTCCGGGCTCCCAGCCCGCCTGCTCTAACCCACCAACCCCCACGTACCTCGTCTCCGGGCCCGGCAGAGGCAGACGGACAGCACCAGGATCACAACCAGCATGACAAACCCCGCGCCTGCCATGGCGGCGACTCCCCAGACTGGGATCCAGCAGTCTTTACCTACCAGACAGGTGGTCAATGCTGGGCGCCCCCCAGGCTCCCGTCCCCCCGGCTGCCCACCGGACCTGCGCTGGGGGCCAGGGCCTGGCGAGGGCGCTGTAAAATCTGCACTGCCGCCCCCCCGGGAGGGGCTGGCAGGATGAGCAGCCAAAGCCGCTGTGAGAAACTGAGACGACCCGGGGGCCCACCAGGTCGGGGGGTCGTCCCTCGCGGGGAGCATGGCTCACGGATTGAGTGGGAGACAATAAAGTGGCATGGAGCCCTGCTGTACGGCGGGGATCCCCCGGGTCCCTTGAGCTTTGCTGCGGGCAGGAACAAGTGGGCAAAAAACCCAGCCCACAGGAATTTGCGGGGAAACCCAAAATCCCTAATCTGGTTACCAAGAGTAGCTAGCATGACATTACAGCGAAGTCATAAAAACGGCCTAACATGAATATACCCCAGCAGCTTCTGAATGAACATAGACCCCAGCAGCTGCTGAATGAACATAGACCCCAGCAGCTGCTGAATGAACATGGGCCCCAGCAGCTGCTGAATGAACATAGACCCCAGCAGCTGCTGAATGAACATGGGCCCCAGCAGCTGCTGAATGAACATGGGCCCCAGCAGCTGCTGAATGAACATGGACCCCAGCAGCTGCTGAATGAACATGGACCCCAGCAGCTGCTGAATGAACATAGACCCCAGCAGCTGCTGAATGAACATAGACCCCAGCAGCTGCTGAATGAACATGGACCCCAGCAGCTGCTGAATGAACATAGACCCCAGCAGCTGCTGAATGAACATAGACCCCAGCAGCTGCTGAATGAACATAGACCCCAGCAGCTGCTGAATGAACATGGGCCCCAGCAGCTGCTGAATGAACATGGCCCCAGCAGCTCTGAATGAACATGGACCCCAGCAGCTGCTGAATGAACATGGACCCCAGCAGCTGCTGAATGAACATGGACCCCAGCAGCTGCTGAATGAACAACCCCAGCGCTCTGAATGAACATAGACCCCAGCAGCTGCTGAATGAACATAGACCCCAGCAGCTGCTGAATGAACATAGGCCCCAGCAGCTGCTGAATGAACATAGACCCCAGCAGCTGCTGAATGAACATGGACCCCAGCAGCTGCTGAATGAACATAGACCCCAGCAGCTGCTGAATGAACATAGACCCCAGCAGCTGCTGAATGAACATAGACCCCAGCAGCTGCTGAATGAACATAGGCCCCAGCAGCTGCTGAATGAACATAGACCCCAGCAGCTGCTGAATGAACATAGACCCCAGCAGCTGCTGAATGAACATAGACCCCAGCAGCTCCTGAATGAACATAGACCCCAGCAGCTGCTGAATGAACATAGGCCCCAGCAGCTGCTGAATGAACATAGACCCCAGCAGCTGCTGAATGAACATAGACCCCAGCAGCTGCTGAATGAACATAGACCCCAGCAGCTGCTGAATGAACATAGGCCCCAGCAGCTGCTGAATGAACATAGACCCCAGCAGCTGCTGAATGAACATAGACCCCAGCAGCTGCTGAATGAACATAGACCCCAGCAGCTGCTGAATGAACATAGACCCCAGCAGCTGCTGAATGAACATAGAGCCCCAGCAGCTGCTGAATGAACATGGGCCCCGCACTCTAATAATTATAATAGACCCCAGCAGCTCCTGAATGAACATAGACCCCAGCACTCCTGAATGAACATAGGCCCCAGCAGCTCCTGAATGAACATAGACCCCAGCAGCTGCTGAATGAACATGGGCCCCAGCAGCTCCTGAATGAACATAGACCCCAGCAGCTCCTGAATGAACATAGGCCCCAGCAGCTGCTGAATGAACATAGACCCCAGCAGCTGCTGAATGAACATGGACCCCAGCAGCTGCTGAATGAACATAGACCCCAGCAGCTGCTGAATGAACATGGACCCCAGCAGCTGCTGAATGAACATAGACCCCAGCAGCTCCTGAATGAACATAGGCCCCAGCAGCTGCTGAATGAACATGGGCCCCAGCAGCTCCTGAATGAACATAGGCCCCAGCAGCTGCTGAATGAACATGGGCCCCAGCAGCTCCTGAATGAACATAGGCCCCAGCAGCTGCTGAATGAACATGGGCCCCAGCAGCTGCTGAATGAACATAGACCCCAGCAGCTCCTGAATGAACATAGGCCCCAGCAGCTGCTGAATGAACATAGGCCCCAGCAGCTGCTGAATGAACATGGACCCCAGCAGCTGCTGAATGAACATAGGCCCCAGCAGCTGCTGAATGAACATAGACCCCAGCAGCTCCTGAATGAACATGGGCCCCAGCAGCTCCTGAATGAACATAGACCCCAGCAGCTCCTGAATGAACATAGACCCCAGCAGCTCCTGAATGAACATAGACCCCAGCAGCTGCTGAATGAACATAGGCCCCAGCAGCTCCTGAATGAACATAGACCCCAGCAGCTGCTGAATGAACATGGGCCCCAGCAGCTGCTGAATGAACATGGACCCCAGCAGCTCCTGAATGAACATAGACCCCAGCAGCTGCTGAATGAACATAGACCCCAGCAGCTCCTGAATGAACATAGGCCCCAGCAGCTGCTGAATGAACATAGGCCCCAGCAGCTGCTGAATGAACATAGACCCCAGCAGCTGCTGAATGAACATAGACCCCAGCAGCTGCTGAATGAACATAGACCCCAGCAGCTGCTGAATGAACATAGGCCCCAGCAGCTGCTGAATGAACATAGGCCCCAGCAGCTGCTGAATGAACATAGACCCCAGCAGCTGCTGAATGAACATAGACCCCAGCAGCTCCTGAATGAACATAGACCCCAGCAGCTGCTGAATGAACATAGGCCCCAGCAGCTGCTGAATGAACATAGACCCCAGCAGCTGCTGAATGAACATAGACCCCAGCAGCTGCTGAATGAACATAGACCCCAGCAGCTCCTGAATGAACATAGACCCCAGCAGCTGCTGAATGAACATAGGCCCCAGCAGCTGCTGAATGAACATAGACCCCAGCAGCTCCTGAATGAACATAGACCCCAGCAGCTGCTGAATGAACATAGGCCCCAGCAGCTGCTGAATGAACATAGACCCCAGCAGCTCCTGAATGAACATAGACCCCAGCAGCTCCTGAATGAACATAGACCCCAGCAGCTGCTGAATGAACATAGACCCCAGCAGCTCCTGAATGAACATAGGCCCCAGCAGCTGCTGAATGAACATGGGCCCCAGCGCTCCTGAATGAACATAGGCCCCAGCAGCTGCTGAATGAACATAGACCCCAGCAGCTGCTGAATGAACATAGACCCCAGCAGCTCCTGAATGAACATAGGCCCCAGCAGCTGCTGAATGAACATGGGCCCCAGCAGCTGCTGAATGAACATAGACCCCAGCAGCTGCTGAATTCTGTTTATACACATAATATATTCACTGACTTTTTCGTTTCTCTTTCCGGAGCGCGGGTGACTCTGTCTCTCTTGCGGGGTGGAAGATTGTTTGCGGGTGGAAATGGGCTAAAAGGGCACGAGCCAGGCCAGGAGCGGGCGGGGGTGGGCCTTGCGGCGTGGGGGGCGATTAAAAACGAGCCCCGCGCCGGGCGCTGAGGAAGCGGGTGGGGAAGAGGCCCCCGTCCGTCCGGGGTGGATTGACGGGAGCATCGTACGGGGGAGGTCGCTGACCCGCCCTGCTCGGGGGTCCCGGGTCCTGTTCTGGGGGGCTGGGCTCCGGGAAACACGGGGACAAACTTCGAGGCCAGAGGAGAGCCACAAAATGGAGCACGGTTTAGAAAACCTGGAGAGGTTAAAAACCACGTGGGCCTGACGAGCAGGTTGCGGGGGCAGCTGGGAGGGTCTTCCCCGTCATGTGAGGGGCTTTACCGAGGCCGGGGATCCATTCTGCGTGTCCACAGAAAGCAGGAGGGACGTGACAAGGGTCACCAAGGGCGACTGTGGCTGGATATTAGGACAAACTTTCCAGGTCTCGGGGACGTTCAGCTCGGGAATCGGTGTCCACGGGCGGGTCGCGGGATCCCCGTCCCGGGAGGTTTAAAACCAGGCTGGCCAAACCCCTGTCAAGGAGGGTCTGGGTTGGCTGGGCCCTGTGAGGACCGCCCATGATGCCTCCAGCCCTGGAGGACGTTTCAACCGGCCCCGGTCTGAGTATTCCTGAGCATCGGGGTCCCCCCGCCCGAAATGAAGAATTTGGGCATCACTGACGCAGGCTCAGTGATATTTAGCTGTGGTTGAATGGGCATTTTTCTCTCACACACGCAAATGTCCCCGTTTGGGTGAGAAATGAAGTGGCTCCTTCTCTCCCAGAGGCAAGGATGGAGCCCCCACTCCCCTCCCAGAGCTGGGGAGAGAACCCAGGAGTCCTGGCTCCCAGCCCCCTGCTCTAACCCACCAGCCCCCACTCCCTTCCCAGAGCCGGGGAAAGAACCCAGGAGTCCTGGCTCCCAGCCCCCCATGCTCTAGATCACTTGGCTCCATGCACACCCCCCACCCCATGGGAGGCTCTGCCCCTTGGGGCCACGTCCCGGGGGTCTCACACCATGGCACAGGGCATGGGCGAGGGACCCACAATTCAGCCATTTCAAACCAGTGGGGACCAGAGGATGTGGATGGGGGGTGGATGGATAGATGGGTGTGTAGGGGATGGATAACAAGAGGGGCGTGGGGGTGGATGGAGGGAGGGGTAGATGGATGGGGGAGGGGTGGATAGTTGGAGGGAGAAGGTGATGGGTGGGGGAGGGAGGTGCCGGGGGAGGGAGGTGGGTGGAGATGGAGGGAGGTGGGGATGCATGGGAGGAGGGAGCAAGGGGTAGATGGAGGAAGGGAGAGGGAGGGATGGATGGAGGAAGGGGTGGGTAGATGAGTGGGGGGATGGATGGGGGAAGGGGTAGATGGAGGGAGGGAGGGAGGTATAGATGGATGGGGGGAGGGAGAGGTGGTGGGGGAGGGAGGGAGGGGTAGATGGATGGGGGAGGGAGGGGTGGGGATGGAGGGAGGAAGGGGTAAATAGGTGGAGGGAGGGAGGGGTACATGGAGGAAGGGAGCGGATGGATGGAGGGAGGAAGGGGTGAAGGGAGGGAGGGGTAGATGGATGGGGGAAGGGGTAGATGGATGGAGGGAGGGGTACATGGAGGAAGGGAGGGGATGGAGGGAGGGAGGGGTAGCTGGAGGGAGGGAGGGGTAGCTGGAGGAAGGGGTGGATGGAGGGAGGGGTAGATGGAGGGAGGGAGGGGTGGGGATGGAGGGAGGGAGGGGTAGCTGGAGGGAGGAAGGGGTAGATGGAGGAAGGGGTGGATGGAGGGAGGGGTAGATGGAGGGAGGGAGGGGTGGGGATGGAGGGAGGGAGGGGTAGATGGATGGGGAGGGAGGGGGTGGGGATGGATGGAGGAAGGGGAAGATAGATGGAGGGATGGAGGGTTGGAGAGGGAGGGGGGGAGAGGTAGATGGGGCCTGGGGGTGGAGGGAGGGAGGGGTAGCTGGAGGGAGGGGTGGATGGAGGGAGGGGTAGGTGGATGGAGGGGGGAGGGGATGGATGGGGGAAGGGGTAGCTGGTTTGGAAGGGTGGGGGTGGGGATGGATGGAGGGAGGGGTAGATGGAGGGAGGAAGGGAGGGGATGGAGGGAGGGAGGGGTAGCTGGAGGGAGGGAGGGGTAGCTGGAGGAAGGGGTAGATGGAGGGAGGGAGGGGTGGGGATGGAGGGAGGGAGGGGTAGATGGATGGGGAGGGAGCGGGTGGGGATGGATGGAGGAAGGGGAAGATAGATGGAGGGAGGGAGGGTTGGAGAGGGAGGGGGAGAGGTAGATGGGGCCTGGGGGTGGAGGGAGGGAGGGGTAGATGGAGGAAGGGGTGGATGGAGGGAGGGGTAGCTGGAGGGAGGGGTGGATGGAGGGAGGGGTAGGTGGATGGAGGGGGAGGGGATGGATGGGGGAAGGGGTAGCTTGGTCGGAAGGGTGGGGGTGGGGATGGAGGGAGGAAGGGGTAGATGGAGGAAGGGAGGGGGAGGGATGGATGGAGGAAGGGGTGGGTAGATGGGGAGGGAGGGGCGGGGATGGAGGGAGGAAGGGGTAGATGGAGGAAGGGAGGGGGAGGGATGGATGGAGGAAGGGGTGGGTAGATGGGGAGGGAGGGGCGGGGATGGAGGGAGGAAGGGTTGGGGATGGAGGGAGGGGTAGGTGGATGGAGGGGGGGAGGGGATGGACGGAGGAAGGGGCAGATAGATGGAGGGAGGGGTAGGTGGATGGAGGGGGGAGGGGATGGATGGGCGGGTGGATGGAGACGAAGGGAGGGATGGGGGGTGGCTGAACGGAGGGGGGGGATAGACGGGGGAGGGGGATGGAGGTACCCTGGGTGGGCGGCAGGGCGGGATGGACAGTTGGTTTGAATCTCTCTCCACCCTCCTCCTCCCCATCGATCTCTCCCTCCCCTCACCCCCACCCCCACCCCTCGGCGGTCTCCAGCCCCACCGTCCCCCTCTGCTCCCTTCCCACCCCCAGCCAGGTCCCTCCCCCAGCCCCACGGCGCGGGGGGCACTGACCATTCCCTCCCATCCCCGCGGACAGCCCCAGGCCCGGCGAGCAGCTCCCCCAGCAGCGTCCGTCCGTCTGTCCGTCCCGCCAGGGCTGTGTGTCCTGTGGGTGGTGGGGGAACTTCTGCTTCCAGCTCCCCGGCCCCGGAAACCCCCAAGTGTTAAAACCAGAAGCTAGAGAGGCAGCTGTATCCGCCCGCCAGGGCTGCAGGGGGGCTGGGAGCCTGGACATCTGGGTCCTCTCCCCAGTGCTGGGAGGGGAGTGGGGCTGGTGGGTTAGAGCAGGGGGGCTGGGAGCCTGGACATCTGGGTCCTCTCCCCAGTGCTGGGAGGGGAGTGGGGCTGGTGGGTTAGAGCAGGGGGGCTGGGAGCCAGGACTCCTGGGTTCTCTCCCCAGCGCTGGGAGGGGAGTGGGGCTGGTGGGTTAGAGCAGGGGGGCTGGGAGCCAGGACGCCTGGGTTCTCTGCCCAGGAGACCCCAAGTGGAGGGGAAGTGGGAGGGGCAGCTTTGGGGCCCCCAAGGGAGAGCCTGGCAGAGGCAAAATTTCCACTGCTGAGGTGTGAAATCTACCCACAGCCCCAGAGGCCTTGTTCCCTGCCCAGAGGCCTGGCCGGCCTTGGGGGCAGGGAATGGGGCTCGGGGTTCGTCCCCTCGAGGGGGAGCCGGGCTCCCGGGGGATTGAGCAAGCTAGTGTAGTGGGGATGCAGAGTGCCAGGACTCCTGGGTTCTCTCCCAGCTCTGGGAGGGAAGCGGGGACTAGTGGTTAGAGTGGGGGGAGGGGAAGGGGAGTGCCAGGACTCCTGGGTTCCGTTCGCAGCAGAAGGTTGACCCAAAGTCCCCATCCGCCAGCCCCATGACTGGGATCCGTCCTTCCTTGAGAATCTGCCGGTTGTGAAATACACACGTCTCCTTCCTTCTGCAAAACAACCCCGCAACTTCCTGGCTCCCAGCCCCCCCCCCGATCTAACCACTAGGCCTCACTTCCCTCCCAGAGCCGGGGAGAGAACCCAGGAGTCCTGGTTCCCAGCCCCCTTCCACTTCCTCTCACACCTGTGTGTGTTTGTGGGTCCCTTTCAGCCGTTCCAGGGCCCCCATCTGAGTGAACCTTCTGCAGCTCTGCCAGGTATTATTGTAGGCCCTACAGGCTGTCATTTAAGGGACCCGGGGGCCGTAGCAGCGCCGCGGGAAATGAAGATTTCCATTCCAGCACATTCGGCATTTATTCGGCTCCTCGCCGAGCAGCCGGGCGCAGAGAAACGCAGCGAGTCGAGATGGTGGAGCGAGGAGGTGGCCGGTGCCCTGCTCCGGGTGGTGTCAGGGCCCCAAAATACCATGAGACTGGCCTAAAAAACCAGGGCCTGGGGAAATCACCAGCTTGGCTGGGAAAGTCGCGAATCCAGCGGATGGGCCGGGGGAAATCGCGACTCAGGACGGCCCGGTGACGTTGTGCCCCGTATGATGGTATGAAAATCTGCTAACGAGTGTGACCAGGATGTAACTGGAATATACTTCAGGCAAAGGGTCTCTTGTAAGGTGTCATTACAGAGCTTATAACCGGCTGAGCGTGGGCCTCCCGTTGGTATGATGCTGTCACCCTCGTATCGGAAACTAGGAATATGAAACATAACGCTGAGGCCTGTTGTCGCGATGCAAAGCGTGGGCCATTAATGGGGGCTTGGAAGCTTGATGGCTCCCACTGACGAGGACAATTGGTGGTAAATGGCTCTGTTTACTTCCAAGCCCTCCTGGGTCCCTGGCTGCCAGCCAGTGGGTCATGAAGTCTCCCAGGACACGGGACCATGTCACCTGGTACTGGAATCCATCTTGAACCTGGGGCTTTGCCATTTAGAAGGAGGGGTGGGGGCCCAGAGAGACAAAGGATTCCCGCCTTGGGACAAAGCTATAAAAGGGGGTGGAACAGGACAAAGGGGGCCAGTCATGAGAACGCCCCTAGTTACCACCTGAGCTGGATCAAGGGCTGTACTGGGGAAAGGATGGGCCCAGGCTAGGGGGGAGTCTGGTCTGGAAAAGAAGCTCATTGGAACCCCTCCGAGGGTGAGATTCACCTGTAATCAGCTTCTTCACGTATCAGGCTTAGACTGGCGCCTTTTGTTTTATTTTGCTTGGTGACTTACTTTGTTCTGGCTGTTCTTACTTGGAACCACTTAAATCCGACTTTTTATACTTAATAAAATCACTTTTGTTCATTAATTAACCCAGAGTAAGTGATTAATCCCTGGGGGGAGCAAACCGCTGGGCATATCTCTCTATTAGTGTTATGGAGGGCGGACAATTTATGCATTTACCCTGTATAAGCTTAATACAGAGTAAAAGGGATTTATGTGGGGTTTGGACCCCATTGGGAGCTGGGGGTCTGGGAGCTGGAGGCAGGAGCACTTCTCAAGCTGTTTTCAGTTAAGTTTGCAGCTTCCGGGGGACGTGGCCCAGACCTGCGTCTGGATTGCACCAGGCTGGCGCGTCTGGCTCAACAAGGCAGGGGTCTGGAGTCCCAAGCTGGCAGGGAAAATGGGCTCAGAGGTAAATTCAGCACGTCAGGTGACGGTCCCAAGGGGGCCTCTGTGACCCCACCCATCACAGGCCCCACGATTCTCTGGAAAAAGAACAAATCGGGGCTGGAGGCAGGACGAGACGGGCTGGAAATGAACGCGAGTGGGGCGGGCAGGGGAAAGCGAGATGCCCACAACTCCAAATGTTCCATTTCAACCGGCCGTTGGGTTTCTCTCAGCGTTTTGGGGTCGCAATTTCCAGCTGTTCTCCCCGGCCGGGACGGGGGAAAAAGAGACAAGCTTTTAACCCAGAGCCCAGATCCCCGGGACTCCTGGAGCAGGGGCATGAAGAAAAGTTGTAATTGTTGGTTACGTGTACAGGGGAGTGCTGGGGAGGGGAATGGGGGCTGGTGATTAGAGTGGGGGAGGCTGGGAGCCAGGACTCCTGGGTTCTCTCCCTGGTTCTGCAAGGGCACTACGGGCTAGTGGTTAGAGCAGGAGACACGAACAGTCATATTCACAGCTGGGCTTTGGCCTGAAGCTCCCTGACTCGTCTCTTTCTCCTCCGGGACACTAGGACGAGAACAAGGAGAGAGAAAAGTGAAGGGCTCAAACAAATAGGGTGGAAAATGGCTTTTCCCCAACCTGGCAACCAGTAAAGTATCTGATACCATCAGCAGAGCTGGGGGGGGGCAGGGCTGGGCTAGCAGGGGCTGCAGGTCGGGAGTGAGGGGCACCGGCAGAGCCGGGGGAGCCTGGGGGCTGCGGGTCGGGAGTGAGGAGCTCCGGCAGAGCAGGGGGGAGCCTAGGGGGCTGCGGGTCGGGAGTGAGGGGCACCGGCAGAGCGGGGGGAGCCTGGGGGCTGCGGGTCGGGAGTGAGGGGCTCCGGCAGAGCGGGGGGGAGCCTGGGGGCTGCGGGTTGGGAGTGAGGTCTGCAGGGGGCTGCAGGTCGTGAGCGAGGGGCACCGGCAGAGCGGGGGGATCTGGTCACTCACGTTTCGTCTGGTAGAACAGGCTGGTGCCCATGGCGCCGGCGGCGAGGCCAAAGATGCAGATCAGGCCACGCAGGAAAAGCCACAAGAGGACAAATCGGTCGGGTTTCACGTCCATGGGCACTGAACGGGCTAGAAGGGAGGAGAAAAGGATTGTAGGAAATTAATACTATGTGGGTTGAGGAGAGAGCCCAGGAGTCCTGGCTCCCAGCACCCGCTGCTCTAACCACCAGACCCCACTCCCCTCCCAGAGCTGGGGAGAGAACCCAGGAGTCCTGGCCTGCCCTGGACTCACCCGGTTTCAGCACCTGGAGCCACGTCCCGTTCCCAGCCCCCTCTCCCACGGTGGGGATCTTCACCAGGCAGCGGTAGGTCCCGGCATCGTAGGGTCTCAGGTCCCGCAGCTCCACGTCGGCTCTCCTCTCCCGCAGGAAGCTCCGGTCCCGGGCCCGGCTCACCCGGCCCCTGAACTCCTGGGTCCCGTCACTCAGCTCCAGCCGGGCGCCCGCCACCTCCTTCACCCAGGTGTAGCTGCCCAGCCTGGGCTCCCGGGTGCTGTTGTAGGCGCAGGGCAGGGTGATGGAGCCACCCTCGGTGCCCTGCACGGAGCTGGGCTGGGAGACCCACAGGCCCTGCGCCCAGCAGCCTGGCAAAGAGACGGGACCGAGGGACATCACCCATGGAGTCGGGCACGGGGCCTGCCCCTCTTGGGGGGCGCCCGCTCCCCCTGGCCCCAGGGCAGGGACTGGCTGGCTCAGGGGGCGGGGAATGGGACCCAGGCCATATGTCGGCCAGACCGGGTCAGCCCGATGGCCCGTCCAGCCCAGCAGCCCGTCTGTGGCAGGCTCGGCAACCAACAGAAGAGGGTGATTATCAAGGGCCCCAGCCCCAGCCGGCCAGTCCCAGCCTCTGGCTCCAAACCGGCCTCAAACCTGAGTCAAAACCAGCCTGTGAAATTGTGATTCTCCTGCTAGAGAAACCGTCACGTAATTCGTACTGTACGTCGGCTGGCTTCAGTAGCTGGGTCCACCCGAGCCCCCCACCCACCATCTCTCTATCCCCATGCACACCCTACCCGTCATCCATCTATCTCTCCATCCATCCATCCATCCACATACACCCCCACCATCCATCCATCCATCCATCCGTCTATCCCCACACCCCCCCTCTATCTATCTATCTATCTATCTATCCATTCACATACACCCCCTCCATCCATCCATCCATCCGTCTATCCCCATCCACCCCATCTATCTATCTATCCACATACACCCCCTCCAGCCAGCCAGCTATCTATCTATGTATCCACAGACACCCCCCCTCTCTCTCTATCTACCGATCCCCATCCACCCAACCCATCTATCTATCTATCTATCTATCCCCAGACACCCCCCCTCTCTCTCTATCTATCCCCAGATACCCCTTCTATCTACCTACCTATCCCCAGACACCCCCCCCATCACCCTTTCCAACACTCGACATACTTCTGGCTGACGCAGAGATCGGAAAACACGAGCCGTTTTCTCTCATCCCCTCACCGAACAATTCCCCATTCCCTTATTTAATATTTTCTTTGTTTTCTACGCTTCAATTCTCATTTCCTTTCCATTGTGTCCTTGGCCTTTGTACTTTTCCACACAAAGCAAATGTCCCCAAAGAGCACCAGAGACCGTGAGACCCAGAACCCGGTTCGGTTTGGTGTCAGTGATCGGATTGTAACACAGTTACACTGGAAATAAATCCCAATCGTCGGCTGGCGCTAAGAGTTATGTATGGGGTGATAATTTAGTGCCTCTGATTCTGAAATCGATTGGGATTAACAGCTGGGATGAAATTTTAAACCTCTTGCAAGAATGCATGGGGTTGTACTCTGAGATGCATTCATGCAATTAACTGGCATATGTTTTTAAAGAAAACAGTATTTTCCTAGGATTAAATATTAAAGGAATTTCAATAATCGAATGGGGTTATTGATCTAATTTGCATAATTTCCTTGGATTAAATGATAAACTTCTGGGGTTAATTTTGAAAGGACCCATGGATTATCTTTAAGAAAACTCTCTTTTCCGAGCATTACCTTGTGGAAGAATTGGAGTAATCTGATGGGATTAACCGAGATATTCCCGGGAATTAATTTCTGATCTTCTGGGCTTAATTTTTAAACACATCTCAACAATTTACTGCAGTTATTTTTAAGGACATTGAAAGAGTTGCCCTGGGATTATTCTTTAATTCAAATTCAATAGTTCGCAGGATTAACGATTACCTTGCAATCACTTTGACGCTGAAATAAATTGGTATCGTTCACTTGAATTCGGTTTTAAATCCACTGCAGACATTTCCAGGGAGTGACAGATACGTTCTCGCAGTGTCCTCGGGTTAACGTATTGAATCACAATCGTTGGGCTGAGATTAATGTTCACGGACTTTGCAATTAAATCGCTGGGATTCTATTTTTTTAAGAAACTGCAATCATTTTTCTGTGATTTTTTTTAAACTGCGACAATTGTTTTGGGATTAGGGTTAAAGAAATCGCAATAATTCTGCAGAGAATCTCAGTTCCATTGCAATACTTGGCTAGTAATTACAAAGAACTGCATTCATTTAACAGGAACCAGACTGTCATCATTTCATTTAATTAACTATTAAATAATCATTTAATACCATTAACTCTGAAATAAATTGCAACACGCTGCTGACTTTACTCTTAAAGAGACTGAAACAATTCAGCGGGACAAACCCTTAAATAGCTTGCAATGTTTCACCAGGAGTATTACAGACTGGGATTATATTTTAAAGGAACCGCAAAAAGACAGTGGACTTGACTTTTAAATACACTGCAGTAATTTTTAAGGAATACCCAACACATTGTCTTTAGTAGCAGCGGTTAAACTGTAAAGAGTTTATTAGGGTTACTTGAATGTTGAATGAATTTGCTGGAATCATGTTTTAAATTGCAAGAGTTGGCTGGGATTAATATTTAAATATTGCAAGATAGTTAATGGTTAAAGATGGAAGAATGAGCCAGGATTAGCTCCTCAACGTCCTCAATTAATTAGAATCAATTTCTATCATTTCCTCGGATTAATTCTTGGACAGCGGGGTAAGAATTTGCGAAGGGCGAACAAATGAAGTGCCTCAGTTTGCTCGGATCTGCTGGAAGAAATCGCAATCCTTTAGGGTTGATTTAAATACTTTGCCGGAGCGGCCTAGTAAGAAAGAAATCGCCACCTTTGGATGAGCCCCGTCGTAAGTAAAACTCAGGAATTAAATGACATGAATTTTGAAATAATTTTCCCAGTTTCGTTCAGAACTTGCAACAGGTTCGTGGGCCTAGCTGTAATCATTAACTGGGATCAATTGTTAATTGTATCATTATTTCCTGGTCTGAGCGGTGAAAATATGACGGTTCCGGACGGCATTAGACGAAAGTAGGTGTGAGATTGACGGAGCCGCTCGCCGAGGAACGGGGCACGTTCATTATTGAATCGGAGGCGGAATTGTTCACCTCATGCCTGGATCGGTCAGGTTAGTTTAGAGCAGCCATTCTCAACCAGGGGCCCGGGGCCCCCGGGGGGGCTGAGAGCGGGTTTCAGGGCGAGCGCCAAGCAAGGCCGGCCCAGGGCAGAGCACCTGAGCAAATGAAACCAAAGCCTGAGCCATGTGGGGCCCCGGGCAATTGCCCGGCTCGCTATCCCCTAAGGCCGGCCCGGGCCGCCCCCGCTCGGGTTCACGCTCACCGGCGAGTGGTGCGTTCATCCCGGCGCAGCGAGTTAACGGCCCCCGGGCAACGCTGGGTCCCTCCGGCCTGCCGGGTCGGCCCCGTCGCTTGGCACCAGGTGGAGCGGGCGCTCACGAGCCGGATTTAGCTGGGGACGGGCGCGGGGGGCGGCACTGGCTGGGGATAGGCAGGGCGGGGGCAGGGCACTGGATAGATGGGGATGGATGGGTCGATGCAGCATCTATCTATGTAGCCTTCTGTGCCCACTGATACCCAGCTGGCTATGCCCAGATGTGCCCAGCTGGCCGGTACCTCCACGTGCCCCGTTCTATCTGTCTGGGCTGCAGGTTCACATCCCCCCATCACGGCCTCCCCCTGCACCGGCCCGGATCCCGGCATCGCGCCCCTCCCTGCTCACCTGCAATCAGGGCCAGCGTCCAGAGCAGGGGGCCCGGGGTCATGGCTGCCCGGGTGTGAGGGCGGAGGAACGCGGGTGCAGAGCTGGAGTGACTCGCACCAGGGCGGGGGGGGTCAGGAAATGAGCTGGGGCGAGATTCACGCCTCCGAGCAGCACCTGTGTAAATCGGCCGGTTCCTGCCGAGCTTCGGGCTTCCGGCCCAAGGGCCAAGGGAGGGGGAGGAGCAGGGCCCGGACTCCTGGGTTCCATCCCTAGCTCTGGCAGGGGAGTGGGGGCTTGTGGTTAGAGCAAGGGTGCTGGGTGCCAGGACTCCTGGGTTCAGTCCCAGGGTTTGGGAGGGAAGTGGCGTCTGTTGAGTTAGAGCAGGGGGACTCAGAGCCAGGACTCCTGGGTTCTCTCCCCAACTCTGGGAGCGGAGTGGGGCCTAGTGGTTAGAGCAGGAGGGGCTGGGAGCCAGGACTCCTGGGTTCTCTCCCCGACTCTGGGAGCGGAGTGGGGCCTAGTGGTTAGAGCAGGAGGGGCTGGGAGCCAGGACTCCTGAGTTCTCTCCCCAGCTCTGGGAGGGGAGTGGGGCCTAGTGGTTAGAACGGGGGGGGGGCTGGGAGCCAGGACTCCTGGGTTCTCTCCCCAGCTCTGGGAGAGGAGTGGGGCCTAGTGGTTAGAGCAGGAGGGGCTGGGAGCCAGGACTCCTGGGTTCTCTCCCCAGCTCTGGGAGAGGAGTGGGGCCTAGTGGTTAGAGCAGGAGGGGCTGGGAGCCAGGACTCCTGGGTTCTCTCCCCAGCTCTGGGAGGGGAGTGAGGCCTAGTGGTTAGAGCGGGGGGGGCGCCAGGAGCCAGGCGTACTGAACACCATTAATTTAGGTCAACAGCTTCTTACATCACCGGGACTTTATTCAGCACCAGGGGCTCGCAGACCCACCAGCCCGTGCGCTTTGCACCCGCCTCCATCACTTCGTGAGACTCTCCCATGGCTGCAATTGGCCCCGATCGCGGCCCCGGCCGAGCTCCCCGGGCCAGTGACCGCCTGTTCCACAAGGAACCCACCCTTGATTTAAACCTCACCCCAGGCGGGAGCCTCCCCACGGCCCCGGGGCGACCGCCCCCCTGGGTCGTTCCCCTCCGGCCACAAGCGGACGCCTTGTTCCCAGGCTGTCTCTGCCCAGCTCCAGCTCCCGGCCAGGCTGGGGTTCGACGTGAGTGGTTCAGCCCCACGCGGCCGCCCGAGCGCTCAGCCGACCACACACCCAGCCTGGGACCTGTTTCCTGCCCCGCTGCTGGCTGAGGGGGGCTGGAGGCTGGGCTGCGCAAGCGGCTCTCGGGAGGCCGGGGGGGGTGGAAAAACTGGGTCACTGGCTCTCACGCCCCACGGGAGGAAACAGACACCGGCCGCGTCTTCGACTGCCTGAGAAACCACCGGGGCGGCTGTTAACCCGCATGCTCCAAGGCAGAGCGCGAGCGCCGGGAACTAGGGGTCAGAAAGGGACAGTGAGTCCAGCGCTGGCCACTGGGTGGATGTCTTGGGTCCTCGTCAGAACCCGCGGGTCAGGAGTGAGGGGCACCGGCAGAGCTGGGGGGGCAGGGCTGGGCGGGCAGGGGGCCGCGGGTCAGGAGTGAGGGGCACCGGCAGAGCTGGGGGGAGCCAAGGGCCGGCTAGCAGGGGCTGCAGGTCGGGAGTGAGGGGCACCGGCAGGACTGGGGGGCAGGGCTGGGCTGGCAGGGGGCTGCAGGTCGGGAGTGAGGGGCACTGGCAAGGCAGTGGGGCAGGGCCAGGCCCGGCAGGGGGCTGCAGGTCGGCAGTGAGGGGCACCGGCAGGGCTGGGGGGGCAGGGCCGGGCTAGCAGGGGGCTGCGGGTCGGGAGTGAGGGGCACCAGCAGGGCTGGGGGGGCCCAGGGCTGGGCTGGCAGGGGGCTGCGGGTTGGGAGTGAGGGGCACCGGCAGAGCTGGGGGGGAGCCAAGGGCCGGGCTAGCAGGGGGCTGCAGGTCGGGAGTGAGGGGCACCGGCAGGACTGGGGGGGCAGGGCTGGGCTGGCAGGGGGCTGCAGGTCGGGAGTGAGGGGCACTGGCAAGGCAGTGGGGCAGGGCCAGGCCCGGCAGGGGGCTGCAGGTCGGCAGTGAGGGGCACCGGCAGGGCTGGGGGGGCAGGGCCGGGCTAGGGGGGTGAGGGCACCAGCAGGGCTGGGGGCCCAGGGCTGGGCTGGGGGGGCTGCGGGTTGGGAGTGAGGGGCACCGGCAGAGCTGGGGGGGAGCCAAGGGCCGGGCTAGCAGGGGGCTGCAGGTCGGGAGTGAGGGGCACCGGCAGGACTGGGGGGCGGGCTGGGCTGGAGGGGTGCAGGTCGGGGTGAGGGCACTGGCAAGGCAGTGGGGCAGGGCCAGGCCCGGCAGGGGCTGCGGGTCGCAGTGAGGGGCACCCAGGGCTGGGGGGCAGGGCCGGGCTAGCAGGGGCTGCGGGTCGGGAGTGAGGGGCACCAGCAGGGCTGGGGGGGCCCAGGGCTGGGCTGGCAGGGGGCTGCGGGTCGGGAGTGAGGGGCACCGGCAGGGCTGGGGGGGCAGGGCTGGGCTGGCAGGGGGCTGCGGGTCGGGAGTGAGGGGCACCGGCAGGGCTGGGGGGGGCAGGGCTGGGCTGGCAGGGGGCTGCGGGTCGGGAGTGAGGGGCACCGGCTCCCTCCCAGCTCTGCCCCGGCTCCTGGAGCAGTTCAGTCCCAGCTCGGGGCGGCTCCACCCCAGACTCAGCATCACAGGGCCGGAGTCGGTGGGGTGGGGGGCGGCGGGGGGGACACATGGGGGGGCTCCGGCCAGGGGGGATGGAGGCAGCCTTAGGGGGGAGCACAGACCAGGGAGCCCAAGAGTGCTGGGGGGGTCGGGGGGGGGTTGCGAGGGGGGTGATACAGCAGGGCGAGGCCGCCCCCTGGTGGCGGATGGTGGAACTGCAGCCCCCTGGTGGGAGGATGGAGAAAGGCAGCGGGGCGGCTTTAGGGGGGTGTCCCTGCCGGGTGTGACTGTGTCCCGCTACTGGGGGGGGTGTCCCTGCTGCCCCCTGCGGGCTGTGCTGTGTGGGGAAGTGTGGGGGGTACATGTGTGGGGAGTGGGGCTGGGGGCATGTGGAGGGGGGCAGGTATGGGGTGTGTGTGTGGGGTGGGGTGCGTGTGTGGAGCTGGGGATGCACATGTGGGGTGGAGGACGTGTAGGGGGTATGTGTGGGGCGGGGACAGGGGGGTATGTGTGGGGCAGGGGCGTTTGTGGGGTGGGTGTGTGTGGAGGGGGCAGGTATGGGGTGTCGGGGGGTACGTGTGTGGGGCGGGGGGTGTTGGGGGGTACGTGTGTGGGCCGGGGGCATGTGTGGGGCAGGGGTGTGTGGAGAGGGGCAGGTATGGGGTGTCGGGGGGTACGTGTGTGGGGCGGGGGGTGTCGGGGGGTATGTATGGGTCGGGGGGGGTGTGGGTCTCCGTCCCCACCGGCTCAGCCCCCCTAGCCCCGGAGGCTGCCCCCGATGGCGGCGTATGTGACGATTTCGCCCGTGGGCGCCGGGCGCCGACCCAGCTTCACCCTCAGCTCGGCGTAGCTCAGCTCCGGGGCCGGGGTCTAGGGCAAGACGGACCCGTCAGCCCCCCTCCAGACCCGTCAGAACCCCCCCACAGACCCCTCCACCCCCCCAGACCCGTCAGACCCCCCCACAGACCCCTCCACCTCCCACAGACCCGTCCAATCCCCCCACAGACCCCTCAACCCCCCCGGACCCGTCAGACCCCCCACAGACCCCTCCACCCCCCACAGACCCGTCCAATCCCCCCACAGACCCCTCAACCCCCCGGACCCGTCAGACCCCCCACAGACCCCCTCAGCCCCACCCGGACCCATCAGCCCCCCCACAGACCCGTCAGACCTCACAGACCCCCTCAGCCCCCCTTCCCGGACCCATCAGCCCCCCCTGGACCCGTCAGACCCCCCACACAGACCCCTCAACCCCCCTCACAGACCCATCAGACCCCCCCAGACCCATCAGACCCCCCACAGACCCCTCAACCCCCCCCCAGACCCAGACCCCAGACCCATCAGACCCCCCCAGACCCGTCAGATCCCCCACTCGGCCCCATCAGCCCCCCACACAGCCCCATCAGCGCCCCCAGACCTGTCAGACCCCCCCATACAGACCTGTCAGCCCCCCCTGGCCCCATCAGACCCCCCACACCCAAACCTGTCAGCCCCCCACTACAGACCCCTCAACCCCCCCCTCACAGACCCGTCAGCCCCCCCCCACAGAGACCTGTCAGCCCCCACACACAGACCCGTCAGCCCCCCACAGCCATACCCAGCCAGGATTGTCCCCTCAGCTCTTCCCCCAGGTGATCCGCCCCCCACAGCCCTGCCACCCTCCACAGACAGCACCCCCAGCCGGGATCAGTCCCCACATCCCGAGCCACCCCCTAGCCCAGGCTTGTCGTCCCCCACCCCTGCACCTCCGGCAGGGGAGCCTCCGACTCACAGATCCACCCCCCCCGGATACTGGGCTGCCTGTCCCTGCAGACACCCCTCCATCCATCCCTCCACCCCCCCCCCACATCCCTCCAGCCTCCCTCCATCCCCCCCGCCCTTCCATCCATCCCTGGGTCTCACTCTGGACTTGGCCCTTGGGGTCCCCCTGCTGCTCACCCCCTTCGCTGTGTTCTCTAGGACCTTCGCCCCAAACCCCCCCCATGGGGCAGGACCCTGCACCAGGCGTGGGGGAAGGGACCCCGTTCTGTGGGGCCCAGTGGGGTCTCACCTGCACTGGGGCTTCCGTCTGGGGTCCTACTTCTCTCCGGTCTGGGGGGGACATCATTAATGTAATTAATTAACCAGCAGGAGCTATGAATCGCTAGTCAGCAGCCCAGAATCACAGCTCAGCCAGTAGCCAATCAGAACAATCAGTAGCCAATTATAAAGTTCGTTGGCCTAATCAGCTCTCAGGAAGAGCCAATAATCAGTTCTTGGCATCAGCATAAATCAGCCGCCAACAACCAGTGACCAGCAGCTACCCAGCGCAGCCAACGCTAGCCAGTAGCCATTCAGCAAGAATCAGTAGCCGGCCAGTAATCGATAATCACTAACACAGCCGGCAGTCTGTGGTCATTAATAGGAGAGTGGTGATTGGCAGCCGACAGGGAGACAACAGGGATCAGTAGCGAGGAATTGATAATTAGTGGCCAATAGACAACTATGGGTAGAAGCCAATAAGCAGAAGCCATCAGCCAGTCGTCAATAACCTTTAGACAATAATCAGTAGCCGTTAGTCAATTGCTGGTAGCCAGTAATCTAGTAAGAATCAAGAATCTTTAGCCAGGAACCAGGAGCCAAAACTTGATAATCGGTAGCCAGTGCTCAGCAGATAATAATAAATATTCAGTAGCCAGCAATCAATAATCAGTAGCCAATAATTGATAACCAGGAGCCAATTATCAATCAGTAGCTAGTAATCAATAGCCAATCAGTAGCTAATAATTAATAGTGAATAATCAATAACCAGGAGCCAATTGCCAATCAGAAACCCATAATCAGTAACCAATAATCAATAATAAGTAGTCAATAGCAAATCAGTAACTAATAATAGCAAATAATCAATAACCAGGAGCCAATTATCCATCAGTAGCTCATAAGGTCCCTAGTCAGTGGTCAGGGTCAAAGTCAAGGTCTCCAGCTAGGGGTAGGGATGGAGTTTGGGGTCAGGGTTGGGGTCTCTGGTTTGGGGTGGGGTCAGGATCAGGGTCTCTGGTGCGGGGGGTTAGCAGTAGGGTCTGTGGTTGAGGCTTGGGTTTCGGGTCAGGGCTGGGGCTGAGAGTTGGGGGTCTCCGGTTGGGGGCAGCCCCTCCTCAATCTCCCTGTGACACCCTGGCACCTCACTATTCACCACTGTCGTGTAATTAGGATACGTGTTGTACAAAGCGCGCCGTGCGAGGTGTCCTTGTAACAGTCTTGATCTGCTGGACCGGCCGATCTCGTTGGATTGTGAGCGCGACCGTCGGGTGTGACGTTAGGAAGTTTGCTGGTGTGTGTGTGTTACTGAAACACGTCGCAAGCCTGAGAACACCCACAAGCAGCCTTTCGGGTGCGACTGTGAAAAGGCCAGTCAAGGCTAACGGCTCATTGAGAAACCTCTGGGAAACGCTGGTGAAAGGGCAGCTGGGAGGCTTTGCAGCTTGTCACAGCAGCTCAGTGCAAGAGGGAGCCCAGGCTGGTGGGTTGGGGGGCTCAGTGGTGCCCCAGTTCCAGGGGGTACCCGGGGGGGGACTCGTCCCACTCACCTCGTCTCCTCTTGTGGCAGATCAAAATCAGGGCAGCGACTCCGCCAGCAACCCCCACCGCCGCGCTGAAGCCCAAGCTGAGCATGCTCAGCGTTAGGGGGGCCGGTGGGGGGGGGCCTGGCGGGCGGTTGGGGAGAGAAGAAAAAGAGGAAATGAGACCAAGCGGCCGGAGAAGGCAGGGAAGCTGGCGCTGACTGCTTCCCTGCGCCTCTCTGCACCCCTCCTTTCTTCTCTCCATTCGTTCCTTTCTCCCTCCCTTCATCCCCTCGCCCTTCCCTTGGTCTCACTTTTCATCCCCTCGTTCACTTTTTCACTCGTTCTTCCATTTGTTCATTACTCAGCCCCTCCTTCTGGCCCGTCTTTCACGCGCTCCCCGGCTGCGCTTCTGCCTTCGCATCTTTCCCCCTCCCTCCGTCCTTTGCGGTCCACGACGCGCCCCCACGGCCTGTGCTCTGCCCCGACTCCACCATCAGCCTCGCACTCAAAACCAGCCACTAAGAACGACCCACAAATAACACTAACAGCCCCTTTTCCCCCTTTTCAATCCAGAACCACCCCCCCACGATCTAGCCACCAGACCCCACTCCCCACCCAGAGCCTGGAGAGAACCCAGGAGTCCTGGCTCCCAGCCCCCCCCTGCTCTAACCACCAGACCCCACTCCCCTCCCAGAGCTGGGGAGAGAACCCAGGAGTCCTGGCCTGCCCTGGACTCACCCAGTTTCAGCACCTGGAGCCATGTCCCATTCCCTGCCCCCGCTCCCACGGTGGGGATCTTCACCAGGCAGCGGTAGGTCCCGGTGTCATAGGGTCTCAGGTCCCGCAGCTCCACGTCGGCTCTCCTCTCCCGCAGGAAGCTCCGGTCCTGGGCCCGGCTCACCCGGCCCCTGAACTCCTGGGTCTCGTTGCTCAGCTCCAGCCGGGCGCCCGCCACCTCCTTCACCCAGGTGTAGCTGCCCAGCCTGGGCTCCCGAGTGCTGTTGTAGGCGCAGGGCAGGATGATGGAGCCACCCTCGGTGCCCTGCACGGAGCTGGGCTGGGAGACCCACAGGCCCTGTGCCCAGGAACCTGAGGGATCAAAGGCCAAGGGTCAGCAGGACAGAAGACCACATTCCTGTCCCAGAGCTGGGGAGAGAACCCAGGAGTCCTGGCTCCCAGCCCCCCTGCTCTAACCCCCAGACCCATTCCTCTCGCAGAGCCAGGGAGAGAACCCAGGAGTCCTGGCTCCCAACCCACCCCTGCTCTAACTACCAGACCCCACTGCCCTCCCAGAGCCGGGGAGAGAACCCAGGAGTCCTGGCTCCCAACCCACCCCCGCTTTAACCACTAGACCACACTCCCCTCCCAGGGCTGGGGAGAGAGCGCCGAGGGTTTGGCCAGGCCTCCCTTGCCCACGGCCAGTGGACAACACTCAGCCATCGTGCCTGGTCTCCTCCCAGCACCCGACTGCACCCAACGACCGCCGGATTGTCTCTGGCCAACGTGTCTTCCAGGAAGGCCTCCAGGTTGGAGTTGGACAATCCACCGCTTCCCTTGGTGGGTCTTTCCAATGGTCCATCCCCCTCACTCTTAAACACTGGAGCCTTATTTCTAATGGGACTGTGTCTGGCCTTCATTTCCACCTTTGGGCCTTGGGCTGCCCTTCTCCGGTAGGAGAAAGAGCCCTTCGGGGCCGCGTATCATCACCCTGAGAAGGTCCCTTCTCCATCTTCTGCCGGGTGCGCTGAACGGATGGAGCTTCTTACGTCTCCCCACTCTCAGGTCTGTTTCTCCCACCCTCCAACCACTTGTGTGGCTGCCCTCTCTAAGGTCTCCACATCCGAGTCTTGTAGGACAATCCCCAACCTTGAGCTGCAGGGTCCGAGAGCTGCCCAATCCACCACGGCCGGAGGTAAGTTGCTCCGACGGTTAATTACCCCTCAACTGTTCGAAAGTTGAGCCGCGTTCCCCGTCTGAGTTTGTCTGGTGGAGCTCATTCAGCTGCAGTCTGCTGGACGGAGGAGTCCTCGAGTATCAGAAATCTTCTCCCTCCGTCGTCGCCTTTCCTTGGATAAATCCACGTTTAACTCCCGGCTTTGGCCCTTCCGTCATTTACACGTATTCTCCAGATGAAGCACCCAAGACATTCCAGTGATGTTGTTGCCAATTCTGGCTATTTTATCCCAATATCTGGTGTTTTTCTTCAACTCCTGGCTCTTGGTGTTGGGTGGATATGTAATATGTTTACCAAAAAAACCCCAAAACCGGTTTCTAGCCCTTTGGGTTGTGGAGAAAACCCAGCAAACGCGATTGCGAAAGGGAAAGGCCTGTTTTTTCCCCAACGGAAAATCTTCGACATGAACAGAAAGGCTTTGGCGCGGGCCTCTTTCAGGTTTGCAGCATTCGCAACACGTGTTGGGTTCCTGGCTGAAACCCCTCAAATCTGGGATGAGGATTTAATGTAACGGAAAAGCCTTTTCCCACCGAAAAACTTTTGGACGGAAGTTTTTTATCCACCCTCGCGGCTTGATAATCAAGAGGCAAAGAAAGACAACTCCCAGCGGGATTACTTTTCACAACCGTGATTTTTTTCAAAGCCCGTCTCATGACTCACGGCAGAGCCGGACGTGTGCTTGGACACTGGAATTGGCCACTTAAGAAAACAGGGTGATCAACCAGCTCCGTGGGAGGTATATTCGCTTGCTCACGGCGCCTGCATCCTCTTCAATGTAAGAGCACAACTTGTCCCACGGAATCCAGTGAGCAGCAGCGCCAACCCCAGCCAGGATTTAACCTCCCCCCAAAATCATGAGATTTGCCTAAAATTCCCAAGATTTAGAAAAAAAGACAAAATCTTTGGCTACCTTTTGCGGGGTCGGAATTCACGGTTTTGAATGTTTCTCCACAATGCAAAATGCTAGGAACTTACTGGGGTTTTTTTAAAAGAAAAACTGACCTTTCCCCGTAGAACTGCAGAAGCCGAAAACACTGAATATCGTCAAAATAAAGCCGTGTCCTGGCAATTTGAGACTAAAGATGGTGATTTCTCTGCGGCCGTGAAATTCTCTGCCGGGGAGAATTGTTTGTTTCTGGCAAGTTGTTTCCATTTCTCATTCAATGACTGTCCTCGTTCAAACGCCAAGAAAACGTGGATTAGATAAAGATTAAATAATCCAGATTAGATTAAGATTAAGTCAAATAATCCCCATTCAGACCATCACGCAGCCAGGATTCTGCAAACGCGGGCCCAAGGGGTTAACGTTGGACTTGGTACGTCTTTCTCGTGCACATTTTAGGGGAATCATTTGGGGGTTTTTGTCAACTTCTGTTGCTTTTTATCCCCCCCCCCCCAAAAATCTGGTTTCCAAAATGAAACACGTTGCTCAGAAAAAGGTATTCTCCAGGGACATTTTTCAGCGGACACTGTCGGGGGGTTTCAAAACTGGGAGGGGGGAATCTTGGGTTTTCATCAAACCCTGTTACAGAATTATTTGGGGTTTTCTGGGCTTTGGAAAGGGCGAACGATTGGTTGGAAAGGAGATAATACGTAAGCAGCTTTTGGTGATTTTCACTGCTTGGTTGGGTGGGTTGGTTCATCTTTTCCCTGGATGTCTTGAGGAAACATTCTGGGGGTTTTCCACCCAAACGTCAACACCCAAATGCTCCGAGGAGCTTGGCAGCGTCTCCCGGTCACCAAGAGAAGTCGGTCCCGGAACAGCTCTTACCTCACCCGGCGTGTCAGACTTTGAAAAAGTCAAATTTGATTTGGGGAGAGCAAAAAACCCCCCAAAATTGAGATGAAAACCAGAAAAATGGAAGGGTTTTTGTATCTTTCCGCCTGGATCCACGTTTCAGTGCAGCCGTGGCTGGCGGCCGCCTCGGGACCCGCTTGGGGTGTCAAGGGGGGGTAGAGCGCCCGGGGGGGGATCACATCAGACCAGGGAGGGCGAATTCCCTCCCGATGGAGCTGTGGCGAGAACATAGCCGGGATGATGCCGCCGGGCCTGGGGTCCAGGTTCAAACGGGCTACGGGGGCGGTTGGCTGGGGCACGGCTGGACCCCCCGGGTGGAGGGGGGTCGGGGGAGGGATGGACAGAATGTGGAAGGGGGGGCATGAAGCGATAACCCAGGAGGGGATCAGGGGACTTCCCCGCACCCAGGGGGACGCCAAGGTGGGACCCCATTCCGGGGGGAGGCGATCTGCGGGAAGGGACGATTGTGCCCCTGGGTCCATCCCCGGCTGCAGGACCCCTGGGGTGGGGGGCAGAAGGGGCAGGGTCCACCTTACCGGAGCAGCTGAGCAGGCAAAGGCAAAGCCGGGGCAGAGCCATGGGTCCGGGTGGCTGCAGGGGTCACAGAGTGAGACCCCGACCCCGCGGGGCGACAGGATCCAGGCAGCCCCCACCGGACGTGAGTCACAGAAACCAGAGCGAGCGGGGCCCAGACAGCGACGCCTACACTGGGCCGGAAACCTCCCTCCCCGGCCCCCCGCCAGGCCCCTCTGCCCCTGGCCCTGCCAGTGCCCCTCACTCCCGACCCACAGCCCCTTTCCTGCCCAGCCCAGCCCTGCCCCCCAGCCCTGCCAGTGCCCCTCACTCCCGACCCACAGCCCCTTTCCTGCCCAGCCCTGCCGGTGCCCCTCACTCCCGACCCGCAGCCCCTGCTAGCCCAGCCCTGCCGGTGCCCCTCACTCCCGACCCCCAGCCCCCCGGGCTCTGCACCTGAGCTGTCTCTGTGGTTCACACACTCGCCGAGGTATCGAGCGTCTGGCACCAGACAGGGCCGGGGTCAGCAGCCCGGCGCAGAGATGCTGGGGGGGTGGGGGCACGCGGGGCCTCTCGCTGTCTTGCAGGTCGGGGCCGGGGGCCGACAGGGCCCCTGTGGGCTCCAGGCTGACGTACAAACCCACTGGGCTGAGCACGGGCGGCCGCGAGGCATTTCCTCTGCAACCCCAACCCCCAGCTCCCAGCTGCCCAGGTCTGCAGCCTCAGCCGGCACCCAGGGGCTGCGGGTCGGGAGTGAGGGGCATCGGCAGAGCTGGGGGGGCCCAGGGCTGGGCTGGCAGGGGTCTGCTGGTCAGGAGTGAGGGGCACCAGCAGGGCTGGGGGGCAGGGCTGGGCTGAGCTAGCAGGGGGCTGCTGGTCAGGAGTGAGGGGCACTGGCAGGGCTGGGGGGCAGGGCTGGGCTGAGCTAGCAGGGGGCTGCTGGTCAGGAGTGAGGGGCACCGGCAGGGCTGGGGGGCAGGGCTGGGCTGGCAGGGGGCTGCTGGTCAGGAGTGAGGGGCACTGGCAGGGCTGGGGGGGCCCAGGGCTGGGCTGGCAGGGGTCTGCTGGTCAGGAGTGAGGGGCACCGGCAGGGCTGGGGGGCAGGGCTGGGCTGAGCTAGCAGGGGGCTGCTGGTCAGGAGTGAGGGGCACTGGCAGGGCTGGGGGGCAGGGCTGGGCTGAGCTAGCAGGGGGCTGCGGGTCGGCAATGAGGGGTACCAGCAGGGCTGGGGGTGCAGGGCTGGGCTAGCAGGGGCTGCGGGTCGGGAGTGAGGGGCACCGGCAGGGCTGGGGGGCAGGGCTGGGCTGAGCTAGCAGGGGGCTGCGGGTCGGGAGTGAGGGGCACCGGCAGGGCTGGGGGTGCAGGGCTGGGCTAGCAGGGGGCTGCGGGTCGGGAGTGAGGGGCACCAGCAGGGCTGGGGGGCAGGGCTGGGCTGGCAGGGGGCTGCGGGTCGGGAGTGAGGGGCACCGGGAGATGGGGGGGGTCTCCCCACATTAGACTCATTTCTGGGCCCCAGGACTTTGTTCCACTTGAACCGAGTTGCTCCAGGAAGCCTCAAAAATCAAAATATTTCAACGGGGCAAAAGTCAGAAATCACACGCTTGGGTCAGGGAGGGGCAACGGGCTCGAACCCCAGGCCCTGTGTCCCATCCCCCCCGACCCACCAGGACTCCTGGGTTCTTTCTCCTGCTCTGGGAGGGGAGTGGTGTCTAGTGGTTAGAGCTGGGTGTGGGGGGAGGCGAGTCAGGGCGCCTCGTGCCTCAGTTTACCCCTTTTGGCGTGATTTCTGGGTGCCTGGCAGGAGGCAGGGGGCTTTGCCAGGAGGAAGTGGAGGCGTCCTGGCTTCCAGCTCCCACTCCCCCCAGCACTGGGGACAGAACCCAGGAGCCCTGGCTCCCAGCACGCCCTGCACTGACCCACTCGACCCCAGTCCCCTCCCAGAGCTGGGGACAGAACCCAGGAGTCCCGGCTCCCAGCACCCCCCCCCTCCAGACTTTGTCTCTTGCAGCCGATGGGAGGCCATCCAGGGAATTGTTGGTGGAGATTTTCCACCTGGACGACAGCAGCTCCCACTTCCACTGCGAGGAGATCGCCAAAGGTAGGGGGCGCCGGGGGTGGGGGGCTGTGGGGATCGGGGGGCACTGGGGTACAGGGCTGGGGGGATTTGGGGGGTGCTGGGGGGGGTTCCGGGGGGCTCTTCACTTCAAGGAGCTGGGCGGGGGCTGGGGGGGCCAGGCGTAAAGGCTGCAGGAACCGGGTGGGGGCTTCAGGAGGGGGTACAGGCTGCGGGGGGGACTCGGGGGGCTCAGGGGGGCACCAGGCTGCAGGATCCAGTGGGAGACTCGGGGGGGTACAGGCTGCAGGCAGGAGGATGGGGGGGGCACAGCGCGGGCAGGGCCTCGTGTGTGACTATCGGTGGGTAACGGGCCCGGTGCCCCTCACTCCCGACCCACAGCCCCCTGGGCTCCCCTCCACCACTCTGCCGGTGCCCCTCACTCCCAACCCGCAGCCCCCTGCTAGCCCAGCCCTGCCCCCCGCCCCCAGCCCTGCCGGTGCCCCTCACTCCCGACCCGCAGCCCCCTGCTAGCCCAGCCCTGCCCCCCGCCCCCAGCCCTGCCGGTGCCCCTCACTCCCGACCCGCAGCCCCCTGCTAGCCCAGCCCTGCCCCCCGCCCCCAGCCCTGCCGGTGCCCCTCACTCCCGACCCGCAGCCCCTGCTTATCCGTCCAGTCTCTGTGGCCCAGCGCAGCTGGTCGTGCTGGTCAGCGATGAGAACGGAAACACAGACGCCTTCCCCGTGGCCTATTGGACACCCGGCCCCACCGCCTCACGGTAACCCCCCAACCCCCACGGGCCTAGCCATGAGCGGGGTTGGGGCCTGGACACCTGGGTTCTCTCCCCAGCTCTGGGAGGGGAGTGGGGTCTAGGGTGAGAGCCGGGGGTCTCAGAGCCCGGACTCCTGGGTTCTCATCCTTATTGCGACTCTCTTTCTCCCCACAGGTGAGGGGCGGTCCTGTGCTCACCCCATGGCTCAGCAGGGGAAGGGAACGGCCAGTTCCCGCCGTGCGACCCAAATGGTCCCCTGTAAACAGCGCCGACGCGGCAAAGGGTCTCTGTGGGGCTTTAAGCTTTCAATAAACGCAGACGCCCTGGAGGTAGAAATGTCTCGCTGAACATTTCATCACCACGGAGCCGCGACGGGCTGGGTGGGGACCCCTCGCCCGGCGCTGGGACGCAGCCCCTCTGCGGGGGGCGCCAGGGGGCAGGTTATAGGGGGATCCCTTGCTAAGCACCGAGCCACAGCCCCGCTCTGGGGTGGAACAGAGGCTGGTTACCCGGGGACCCCTTGCCCGGCACTCAGATGCAGCTGGCTCTGGGGTGGGGGGGCTGGGGAACCACCAAACAGAACAAAATGTCTGGGACAAGACTGGGGTCTCTGGGCTGGCACCGGCTGGCAGGGGAGAGCGCCCCCTGCTGCCCCCATGCCGCCCTGGCCCCCCAGCTCGGTGACACCCCCCGGAGTCAACGGTTCCTTGAGGCGGTAGAAGGGGAAGTGGCCAGTCTTTATAAAGGCCAGGCCCCAGCTGCGGAAGGGGGAAGTGGTCTCGAGGCGTCGGCCCGGACTCCGGGGTCCAGCGTGGGAGGCAGAGACCGGAGCAGCCATGAGCTTCCAGCAGAATCTACAAGGTACCATCCCAGTCTCCTGCTCCAAACTCCCCGGACGCCTGGGTCCCGTTCCCCATCCCATCCCGGTCACCCCCACATTCCACCCTGGACGCCTGAGGTCCCATTTCCCATGCTGACCTCCCTCCCTTCACCTCCTCGGACTCCTGGGTCCCCTTCTCCTGCTCCAAACTCCCCGGACGCCTGGGTCCCATTTCCCTTCCTGTCCTCCCTCCCCCCACCTCCTCGGACTCCTGGGTCCCCTTCTCCTGCTCCCCGCCTCCCCGGACGCCTGGGTCCCATTCACTATCCTCCCCATTCTTTACAGGATGGGAGCATCGCAGGGTCCCCTGGGAATGAGCACACTCCCGGACGCCTGGGTCCCATTCCCTCTCTGCACTGGGGCTGGGAGCACTGCGGGGTCCCCCAGATACGTGGGCAGGTGGGGGGAGGGGTGTTTCTCTCCGCTCACATCCCCCGGACTCAGGATCGTTCTGTCAGTTCCTCCTGCCGGGCGGGGAAAGGCAGCAAAAGCAAAACTATCTCAGAGTAACCCCAGAAAGGGGAAACAAGCCAGGCCTGAGAAAGAGGAAACCCAGAGCCTGAAAGGGGGGCTGCGGGTCGGGAGTGAGGGGCACCAGCAGAGCGGGCGGATCCAGGGGGCTGCGGGTCGGGAGTGAGGGGCACCGGCAGAGCGGGCGGATCCAGGGGGCTGCGGGTCGGGAGTGAGGGGCACCGGCAGAGCGGGCGGATCCAGGGGGCTGCGGGTCGGGAGTGAGGGGCACCGGCAGAGCGGGCGGATCCAGGGGGCTGCGGGTCGGGAGTGAGGGGCACCGGCAGAGCGGGCGGATCCAGGGGGCTGCGGGTCGGGAGTGAGGGGCACCATTAACCCTTTGTTCCCCCCACGCCAGGGGGCAAGGCCTTCGGGGAGCTGAAGGCCCAGCAGGAGAAGGTTCTGGACTCTCTCAATAAGGTAGACGCTCGGGGGTCTGTGGGGGGGCCCCAGGGATGGGGGAGGGGAATGGGCCCCACAGCCCCCCCACAGCCCATGTGTGTCAGACCCTGGATCACCCCCTGCTTGCCGGACCCAGGGGGTGGAGCTACGCCGTGGCAGCTTGTGATGTCATCATGGGGAGGGCAGTGATGTCGGGGGGGCGGGGATGTTCCGAGGCTCCGGGGTCACTCACTGTGGGCTGTGATGTCATGTCCTGAGCCAGGCAGCGGCTGGGATGTTGCCCCCCCAAGTCATGATGTCGCCCCCAGTGCGCGATGATGTCACGCTCGGCACCCTGTAATGTCCTACACGGAGGGCTGTGATGTCATCAGACTGTGAGGACTTCTTGTGACATCACACGCCAGTCACTATGAGGTGTCAGGGTTGTGAGGTCATAAGCCAGGGATGATGTCAGCGGGGTCTGATGTCACACCCAGATTCCTGTTATGTCACACCCAGACTGCTATGATGTCAGAGGGGTGTGAGGTCACCCGCGGAAAGTGGTGATGTCATGGGCAGGGCACTGATACCACCCACTGAGGTCCTCTGACCCCCCCCAGGCCACTGCCCACCACCACGGGGCTGCCCTCCCAGCCCCGCCCCCAACCCAGCCCCCTCTCTCAGCCCCCAGCCCTGCCCCCAACCCAGCCCCCCCGTCCCCAACCCAGCCCCCTCTCAGCCCCCAGCCCTGCCCCCAACCCAGCCCCCCCTGTCCCCAACCCAGCCCCCTCTCTCTGCCCCCAGGAATTCCTGGACGACCCCAAATACAGCACAGACGAAGACCTGCCGGAGAAGCTGGAGGCCTTCAAGAGTGAGCGACACCCGAGGGACGGATGGGGGCTCATTTGGGGTGGGGCCCAACTCGCCTGAGGGCTGAGGGGGAGACCAGGGGTCCTAGGCCCCCTGGGGATGGGGGGCAGCTGATACCTGGGGGCTGGTGCTGGGGGCCTCTGTCTAATCCTCTTGTCCGTCCGTCCGTCCTGCAGAGAAATACATGGAGTTCGACCTCAATGGGAACGGGGACATCGGTGAGTTCCCGCGTGCGAGCGTGGGCGTGCGAGCGTGGGCGTGCGAGCGTGGGCGGGCCCCCGCTGGCCCCACTGACCTCTGCTCCCCCCAGACATCATGGCTCTGAAGCGGATGCTGGAGAAGCTGGGGGCGGCCAAGACCCACCTGGAGCTGAAGAAAATGATCACGGAGGTGACGGGCGGCCTGGGCGAGACCATCGGGTACCGGGACTTCGTCCACATGATGCTGGGCAAGCGCTCGGCCATCTTCAAACTGTGAGCACCCCTCCCTCCCGACCCCCGGCCCCTCCGCCCCCGGGCGCCCCTCCCCTCCCGACCCCCGCCCCTCCGCCCCCCGGCCCCGGCGCCCCTCCCTCCCGACCCCCGGCCCTCCGCCCCCGGCCCGGCCGCCCCTCCCTCCCGACCCCCCCCCCCCCCCCGGCCCGGCCGGCGCCCCTCCCTCCCGACCCCCGGCCCCTCCGCCCCCCGGCCCAGCCGGCGCCCCTCCCTCCCGACCCCCGGCCCCTCCGCCCCCCGGCCCGGCCGGAGCCCCTCCCTCCCGACCCGCAGCACCTGGGTCGCCCCCCATCCCCCAAGTTCACCCCCCGCTGTCAATCACCCCGTCTCCGTCCCCCCCGCAGGATCCTGATGTACGAAGACAAAGCCAAGGAGAAAGAGGAGAAGCCGGCCGGACCCCCCGCCAAGAGGGCCATCGCTGACCTCCCCTAGCTGCCCCCAGCGCCCCCCCTCCGGGGGCTGTCGTGGGGCCCCGGGCAGGGAGCGGGTTCCCATGGTTCACGTCGCTCCTAGAAACTAAGCCACTAACAATGTCTGCAGGGGGCCTGGGGGGCAGCACCCAGGCTGGGGGGGCAGGGTGGGGGAAGGCTGGTTTCACAGGGGGGTCCTGGGGGGCAGAGCTGAGCCCCCCTCAGTTCACCTCAACATGACCCCTGGGCTGAGGGTCGTGACCTCTTCCCTCCCCCCCGCCCTCTTTGGCCCTAGCTCTCAGATCCTGCAAAGGATTCTGGGATTGTTAGACCATGTCACACCCCCCCCACCCGCACGACATATGCTAAGCCTGCAAAGGATTCTGGGATTGCCCCTCCCCTACGCCAGACTCACGCCAGCCCCACAAAGGATTCTGGGCCAGCCAAGGCAGGGGAGGTTAAAGGTCGAGAGCCCCTTGGCACTCATGGGGTCGGCGTGAGGGGTGAAAGGTCGGAGGTCACAGAGGGTGACCCATACGTGCGGCATTGTCAATAAAGGCCTCTTAATGACCCTGCTGTTGCCTGGTGGTTTCTATGGGGGGGGGGGGAAATGTGATGTCAGCCCCAGCCAATCAGGAGCCTCCAGGCAGGCGCGATGGGGATAGAAGTTTCTGATTGGCCAGGAAGTGGGTGGGTTGGGCTTTTCTGCCCAGGTGGAATGATCCATTAGCAGCGGAGGGAGGGGAAGTGGGGGTGACTCCCAGTGGAATGGCCCATTCTAGCTGGGGGGAGGTGGGATGGAATGTGCCATTGCAGAAAGGCGGGAGGTGTCTCCTGATGGAAAGGTCCATTATAGAATCGTAGGATGAGAAGGGACCTCACGAGGTCCCTAGTCCCGTCCCCTGCACTCGTGGCAGGACTCAGTATTATATAGACCAGGGGACGGCAAACCGGCACCACGTCCCTGCGGCCCCAGAGGGGGTGGGGGCAGAGGGCTCCGTGCGCTGCCCTCGCCTGCAGGCACCGCCCCCCGCAGCTACCATTGGCCGGGGACAGGAACCTGCAGCCAATGGGAGCTTGAGGGGTGGTACCCACAGGCAAGGGCAGCGCTGCCAGACATGCTGGCCACTTCCAGGAGCGGCACGGGGCCAGGGCAGGCAGGGAGCCTGCCTTAGCCCCACAGTGCACCACTGCCTCCCCGGAGCCGCTCGAGGTAAGCTGTGCTGGGCCGGAGCCTGCACCCCAAACCCCTCCTGCACCCCAACCCTCTGCCACACACCCTCCTGCACCCCGCACCCGTGCCCTGAGTCCCCTCCCGCACCCTTCCTGCACCCCAACACCCTGCCCTGAGCCCCTTCCTGCACCCCACCCTGCACCCCAACCCACTGCCCCAGCCCTACATTCATGGCCCTGCATGCACTTTCCCTACCCAGATGCGGCCCTCGGCTCAAAAGTTTGCCCACCCCTGATCTAGACCACCTCTGACAGGGGTTTGTCCAACCTGCTCTTAAAAATCCCCAGTGACGGAGATTCCACCACCCCTTGGGCAATTTATTCCAGGGCTTCACCACCCGGACAGCCAGGGAGCGTTTCCCAACGTCCAACCGAAACCGCCCTGGCTGCAGTTTAAGCCCAGTGCTTCTTGGTCTGTCCTCAGAGGTTAACGAGAACAATTTACCTCCCTCCTCCTCCTAACAACCTTTACCTACTTGAAAACCGTTCTCATCTCATCTCCTCTCCAGACTAAACAAATCCAGGTTCTCAATCTTCCCTCCTAGCTCAAGTTTTCTAGACCTTTCATCATTTTGTTGCTCTTCTCTGGACTCTCTCCAATCTGTCCACGTCCTTCCTGAAATGTGGCACCCAGAACCCAACACAAAACTCCAGCTGAGGCCTGATCAGCGCGGAGCAGAGCAGGAGAATTACTTCTCGTGTCTCGCTTACAACACTCCTGCTACTCCAGCCCAGAAGGATGTTCGCTCTTTTTGCGACAGCGTTACACTGTTGACCCATATTTAGCTCTTGCTCCACTCTGACCCCCAGGTCCCTTTCCTCAGGACTCCTTCCTAGGCCGTCATTTCCCATTGTGTGCGTGCAACTGATTGATCCTTCCTAAGGGGAGGACTTTGCATTTATCCTTATTGAATTTCATCCTATTTACTTCAGACCGTTCCTCCAGTTTGTCCAGATCATTTTGAATTTTAATCCTACCCTCCAAAGCACTCGCAACCCCTCCCAGCTTGGTATCTTCCGCAAACTTTATCAGTGTCCTCTGTATGCCGTTATCTAAATCATCGATGAAGATACTGAACAGAACCAGGCCCAGAACTGATCCCTGCAGGACCCCACTCGTTCTGCCCTTCCAGCCTGACTGTGAACCACTGATAACGACTCTCTGGGGACGATTTTCCAACCAGTTTTGCACCCACCTTATGGTAGCTCCATCCAGGTTGTATTTCCCTAGTTTGTTTATGAGAAGGTCATGTGAGACAGGATCAAAAGCTTTATACTAAAGTCCAGTTATACCACATCTACCACTTCCCCCTGTCCACAAGGCTTGTCACCCTGTCAAAGAAAGCTGTCCGGTTGGTTTGACAACCTTTGTTCTTGACAAACCCAGGCTGACTGTTACTTATCACCTCATTATCTTCTAGGTGTTTGCAAACTGATTGCTTAATGATTTGCTCCATTATCTTTCCGGGTACAGACATTAAACTGACTGGTCTGTAATTCCCCGGGTTGTCCTTATTTTCCTTTTTAGAGATGGGCACTAGATTTGCCCTTTCCCAGTCTTTTGGAATCTCTCCCGTCTTCTGGGACTTTTCAAAGGGAATCGCTAACGGCTCCGATATCTCCTCAGTCAGCTCCTGGAGTATTCTGGGATGTATTTCATCGGGCCCTGGTGACTTGAAGACCTCTAACTTGTCCAAGTAATTTTTCACTTGTTCTTTCCCTATTTTAGACTCCGATCCTTCCTCCTTTTCACTGGCATTCACTACGTTAGACTTCCCATCGCCACCAACTTTCTTGGTGAAAACCGAAACAAAGCAGTCGTTAAGCACCTCTGCCACTTCCACATTTTCTGTTATTGTCTTTCCCCCCTCATTGAGTAACAGGCCTACCCTGTCCTTGGTTTTCCTCTTGCTTCTAATGTATTTGTAGAATGTTTTCTTGTTTCCTTTTATGTCCCTAATTAGTTTGATCTCGTTTTGTGCCTTGGCCTTTCTAATTTTGTCCCTACAGACTTGTGTTATTTGTTTATATTCCTCCTTTGTAATTTGACCTAATTTCACTTTTTGTAGGACCCTTTTTGAGTTTTAGATCACTGAAGATCTGGTGAAGCCAGGGTGGTCTCTGGTCATCCTTCCTGTCTTTCCTACGCAGGGGGATAGTTTCCTCTTGTGCCCTTAATAATGTCTCTTTGAAAAACTGCCAACCGTCTTCAATTGTTTTCCCCTTTAGACTTGCTTCCCAGGGGATCTGACCTACCAACTCCCTGAGTTTGCTGAAGTCTGCCTTCTGGAAATCCATTGTCTGTATTGTGCTGTTCTCCCGCCTACCATTCCCTAGAATCGTGAACTGGACCATTCGTGATCACTTTCACCCCAGCTGCCTGCCAGGTTCCAGGGGTATAGACCATCCCATTAGAGAAAGGATGGGGGTGGCCTGAATTATAGGGGGTATTGGAATGTTCCATTATAGCAGGGATGGGGGTGTTGGAATGGTCCATTATAGGTGGAACATTTCATTTTGGAGAGGATGGGGGTGTCTCCTGGTGGAAGGGTCTATGATAGCAGGGGGTTGGGGTAAAAAGGCTCTTTATCTCTGGGGGGGGCTAGTTCCTGATGGGATAACCCATTCTAGTTGATGAGGGAGAGTGGCACAGTCCATTTAATGGGGAGGTGGTGTCTCCTGGTGGAAGGGCCCATTAGAGCAACCCGGGGAGGGTGCCACAGTGAGGAACTGCCTATTATAGCAGGTGGAAGTGGAACATCCCATTATTATATGGAGCGGGGAGTCTCCCAGTGGAATGGTCCATTGTATTTGTAAGTAAATGTGGTTGGAACTTCTCACTGTAATGGGGAGATGCCTCCAGGTGGAATAGTCCATTATAGCCAGTGAGATTGGAACATCTCATTATAATAACAAGGGGGCGTGTCATGGTGGATCTACAATACATCCACCCCCCTCAGCCTTCCCCTCCCTGGATTCTCCACCCTGCACCCTGGTTCAATGGAATATGCCCTAATAAACCTCCTCCTTTTCCAGAAGACCCTCCTCTTGGGAATGAATTATGCAAATGTCACTGCCCCTCTCTGAAATGTACCTATTTGCATAAATTATGCAAACAAAGATTTACATAATTTGCCTGAGGGAGCCTCCCCCATAATTACATAAATTATGCAGATAGGAAAAACTGTTAATGGCCCCCTCTGATTTTTCAAAACCCCCATGCTAATTACAGGCCCGCCGCCACCGGCATTGCGTTCTAGTCAGTCCCCCTCCTCCTGCTGAAGAAATGGTTCAAATGAACTGATTTTATTATGCTAGAAGCCTCGCCCCTTATGCAGATGAGGACATTAAACTACCTCAGTGGCATTACATCACAAGCCAGGATTTATGCCTATTAGAAGGCTCTCCAGGTATTAGCCCAGAAGTCTCTTATCTTTTGCATACACTATGCTAATGGCCAAAGATCTCCCTATGCCACTAGTTCATTACATCTCTGTTTATGCAAAGGAACAGACCCTCTGAATAATCCAGTTTTAGCATATTTTGCACTTTATGTAAATGAAGATAACCTCTAAATAACCCTGGTTAATTACAATTACACTATTAGCCTAGGCTACCTTGTATAAGTTAAGCAAACGAACAGAAGCCCTTAAGCACACGTCGTTTTACGTTATCAATAGCCACTCTCTTATTGCATAAATTATGCAAATATAAAAGAACTTAATTTGAAACCAGGAACCTCCTTTGCTTCGCAGATATTACGCAAATGAGAGACAAACCCACCACACTTCTGCTGGACCACAAACCTCTCCTCTTTTGCATAAATTGTGCAAAACACAAAGCGTCCGCCCCCTCCAAAAGCTCCGCCCTTTTGCATAAATTATGCAAATCACAAAAATACCCCCTAAAGGCTACTCACTATTCCATCCTGCAAGA